AGATTTTTATTGAACCACTACGATGTAAAAGACCTTGTGAAGAGGAAACAACAACAAAAAATTTAATTTGTAGTTAATATTCTCAAGGAGGTTATACTCTAGTAGAGGGAGATAACTCTTACATAAAAAGTTTACTAACAGTACAGCGCATAAATTACAACTTAATAAGGTGATGTAAGAATTGTTACAGGCAGGCAAACAGGCAGGCAATTAACTAGCGTTATTAAACACCACATCCAGGCACTGTGCTAAGCACTGGGGATACAAAGAAAGGCAAAAAATAGTCCCTATTCTTAAGGATGTTACAGTCCAATGAGGGAGACAACGTGCAGACCACTACATACAGATGAGATACATTCAGGATCATCTAGAGGTATCAGCAGAGGGAAGGAAACTAGCATTCAGAAGGATTGGAAAAGACTTCTTGCAGAAGGCTTCTTTAGCCAAGACTTGAAGGAAGCCAGGGAAGCGGGAGGTAGAGATGAAGAGAGAAAGTGAGTGTTTCAACTCGGTGGGATTATCAGTGAAAATACCCAGAGTCAGAAGAGGAGTGTGTGGGGAATAAATAGCAAGGAGGGCAGTGTTTCTGGATTACAGAGTATGTGGGAGGGTGTAAATTGTAAGAAGATTTGAAAGATCAGAAGGGATCAGATCATGAAGGACTTTGAACAACAAATGGGAGATTTGGTATTTGATCCTGGAAGTGATAGGGAGGCATTGGATTTTATTGAATTGGGTAGGGGGCAAGGGAACATGGTCAGATTTTAACTTTAGGAAGATAACTTTGGCAGCTGAGTGGAGGATAGACTAGAGTAGGGAGAAAATTGAGGCAGGCAAGATCTACCAGCAGACTATTTCATTGGTAAGAGGCAATGAGGACCTGCACCAGCATGGTAGCAGTGTCAGGAGAGAGAAATGGGCCTATATAAGTAATATTAACAAGTTAGAAAGGACAGGACTTGGTAATTGATTGGATATGGGAAATAACAGAGAGTGAAGAATCACAGGTGACACATGGGTTGCAAACCTGAGTGACTGGGAAGATGGTGCTACCCTCTACTATATTAGGGAAATTAGGTAATGATGAACATTTGGGGGAAAGGATAATGAGTTTTGGACTTTTTGAGTTTGACATCTATGAGACATCAAGTTCAAGATGTCCAGTGGGCAGCTGTCCAGGCTAGACTGGAGGTCAGGAAAAAAGGCTAGGACTTGACAAATAAACTGAAAATTATCAGCATAGAGATGAGAGTTGAATCTGTGGGAGCTAATGAGATCATCAAATGAAATAGTTATAAAAGGAGAATTGAGGAGGGCCCAGGACTGAGCATTTGGCAATGGTTAATGGGAGTGACCTGTATGAAGATCCAGCAGAGGAGTCTAAGAAGAAATGGTCAGACAAGGAGGAGGAAAACAATGTCACAAAAACCAGACAGAAGAGAATATCAAGGAGAAGCGGCTGATCACCAATATCAATGGCTGCAGAGAAGTGAAGGATAAGTTTTGAGAAAATGCCGTTAGATTTGGCTATTATGAAATCATTGATAACATTGGAGAGATCACTTTCAGTTGATGAATGAGGTCAGCAGTCAGACTGCAGAGAGTTAAGGGGGGAATAAGGGGATAGGAAATAGACACCAGTTATACACAGCCTTCTGAAAGAGTTTAGCTTGAAAAAATAGAGAGACAGAGACACAAGAGAGAAGAGACACACAGAGAATATATATAGGATGCCAGCTTGAAGGGATGGATAGATCAGATGAGGGTTTTTGAGGATGGGGAAGAGATGGACATATTTGTAGACATCAGGGAAGCAGCCAGTAGACAAAGAAAGATTGAAAATAAGTAAGAAAGGAAGAGTGATAGAGGGGGCATTTCTGCTGGAGAAGACAGAATGGAATGAGAAAACTTGTGCATCTGCAAGGGTTTGCCTTGGCAAGAGAAAGGGCTACCTCTTCAAGTGAAACAAGGATGGATGACAGAAGATATCTTAGTGATAGGAAATGAGGAAGAGAGAAGGAGAGAGAGCTCTTAGTGAATGTTCTCAATTTTTTTCAGTGAAATATGAGACAAAGTTCTCAGCTGAAAGTGGGTTGAAGTTGAGGGGGCCATGGGAAGTTTGAAAAGGGATGAAAAGGCCTGGAAATGCCACTGTGGTGAGTGGGTTAGTGAGTCAATTATGGAGGTGTAATTGGCACAGTAAAGGCCCGATTGAGATTAAGTAACATCCATTTTTAGTGGACCCAGTCAACACAGTTTTTCATGACTTTTTCCAGGTTTGTTCTGTAGCATTTGAATAGGCACTGAGGCAGTAGATGATGGAGTCATCCAGAGCTGAGGCTTGGCAGGGCAAGATCTTCAGGAGGATGAGAGGGCAAGGGACTTGAGAGAAGAGGACAATGTCGAGTTCAGCTGGTTGTCCAAGGTTTCAAGATGTTGAAGGGAGGAGAGTGTAGCCAGAGCAGGGGTGATGGCCTGGGGAAGAACGGAGGGGTAGCAGCATAAGACCAGGGCAGGAGGGATGATGAAGATGGAAAACAGATTCAGGGTATGGAAGAGGGAGAGGCGCAATGACAAAATATCATGATCAGATAAAGGAATTTCAAAGTTCATGAACGTGAAAATGGTGTACAGTGGGTGATATATGACAATATTAAGGGTATGACCATCTCTGTATGTAGGTGAAATGAGGTTGAGGAGGTAATAGGAAACTAATAAGCTGAAGAACTAGGAGGTTGGGGTGTTTGCAAGTATATCATGATATATGTTTAAGTTCCTTAATATCAAGGAAGGAATTAGGGAACAGAGAAAGACTGTGAACCAGACCCTAAACTCACTGAGGAAAGGAGCAGAGTGTTCTGGAGGTCAGTAGACAACAGGCATCAGAATCTTCATTGTGCAATCAATATGAATTGTATGAATATTAAAGGAAAAGAGTTTACTTAGTGATGGGGGTAGAGGGAGAGACTGGAAGTGGCAATGGAAAGCAAGGAGTATTTCAACTCTCCTCCCAAGGCCAGTGGGGGTAGGGAAGGGATGAGTGAAAGTGTAATCAGTGCTTGAAAGGCTGGAGAAAGGGAGGTCTCAGTAAGTGAAGATAGTAGGAGTGGGAAAGGAAAAGGCAATTATGTAGTAAGTGAATAATACAGAAAAATCACACTCTAGAAATTAATAGGATGGTGAGATCACTATATGCAACAGGTATGCTGAATAGGATTCATGGAAGAGGAGACATTTGGATTGAATCTTTAACAAGATGGTTAGTATTTAAGTAGGCAGAGAAAAGAAAGGAGCCTCAGTTATCTAGAATACTGATTCTCAGTATTGTCTAGACAAGTTCTGAGATTCCTTCCAGGTCTAATTCTTTGATTTTATGATCATGCAGAATATAGCTAAGAAGTCAAGCATAAGGTAAGATTTTCAGGGAAAATGGTAGTCACAAAAGCTATAATCATTACTCAGTGTGAGGGGATGCCCAAGAGCCATACTGAGTCAGAATTGTGGATAAAATTAAAGTTTCAGTTTAACAAGCTTGGTTATTTCTCAGCTAGTACATATTGGAAGGGAGAGAAATGGTTTTGTGAGAGTAAGTTACAGCCCTGAGGTCTTACCTGATTCTGAATTTCTCTTGTCTTCTGCTGTAATAAAGTGTGCTCCAGAGACTCTCAGGATTATCCCCAACATTAAATAGTCCCCAAATCCAGTGATTTTATAGTTCTTGTGTTTATTCTTTGTACTTGTTCTTCCTCTTCCTACTCTGTAGGAAGGAAGTGTATGATACATTTAAGGAAGATTTTTATCAAAATAATTAATATAAAAAAATTTTAGTACCTCATAGCTTCAGTTATCTTGGCAGTTCATTTATATTGAAGAACATATTTTCTAATGATGATTCTCTTAATTTGTCTAGACAAATGAAATAATAGCATAGCCCAAATAAAGGTATCCTGGCCAAGATCTTTTTGTAATGGTACCGTTAAAACTTTATAACCAAATTATTGCAAAACTCTAATTTGATGCTGTACCCAACACATTATTTTCTCCCTCCTGTTCTACAAAGCTTAGTTCTGTATCCTGACTCCTTCTAGGACTTAATGCCCTAAGACCACTCTAGCCATTCTACCCAATTCATCATTCTTCTGTGCTCTACTTGCCATGCCCTTTGATCGCCTAAATTTTCCTTGGCCTGTACTACCACCAACCCATGCTTCTGACCACGTTGAATTGCTGCCCCATGTGGCTCCTGTAGGTAGCCAAGAAAACTAGAGCAATTGCATTTTGTCTGTAATTCCTCCGTCTTGCCCCAACCCTGTTTGTATTGCAACTCTCCCTGAAACAGCAAGGATAGTCCTATCTGTTAGGGCAGGGTTACAGGAGATAACTAACCTGAAGAAGAGCCTTGCCTCTTACTAGGCCCCAGGAGCAAGCTCTGTCCAATCAAAGGATACCACATCCTCTGCCCAATTCCTGTACTGAAAGCCCCCAGCCACTGGCTCTGTCCAATCCTGAAGTCCCCCATACTCAACTCATCTCCTGCCTAAATTGAAACCTGAGTCTCTGTCCCTGTGGGTGGGACTCGCTTGCTGGCAAACTCAGTAAACTTTTTTTGGTTCTTAAATTTCTGGTTTGATTTCATTCAGGTTCAGGTTCTGGTTTGTTCTAGTACCGACAATTTTACCCAGCTCTCCCAGCTCTGCTGGCTTCCTTTCAAGGCATCCTTCCTCCATTTCTCCTTCCTTCTCCTACCTCTTCCAAATTCTTGTTAACCACTCAACTTCTTTCCAAGAAAGGATTCCCCAATTATAACACTATAACTGTAAAACATTACTACCTCTCTTAACAGTGTTCCAATTAGTTATGTTTTTGTGGAGCTGATTAATGAATTTAGACTGGATATGCTTGTTTGGGATCTATTGATTCTTTTTGTATTGTATAACTTTAACCTTCAGGTATATAAGTTGCCACTGGTGACACCTAGGATCTCTCTGTTCCTCTTCCAGGGTCACTATGACCAGAGCAAAACAAAAGTGCTCCACTTGAGTATGAACCCAACCAGCCTTGCTAAGGAACGCCTCAAGATGGAGCAGCAGCAGCTGCAGGAGGAGTGCCAGCAACTCCAGGAACTGGTCCGGGTCCTAGAAGGAGGGGGCTCCATTGCCAACAAATCGGAAGTGGCTGGTTGCCTGCAGCCTTCACAGGAGATTTCAGGTACATCCCTCAGTAGTATCGCTCTGCTGACTCTTTGGCACCAAAACCATTTGGCCTTTAGGGGGGAAGGAGAAGGTGACAAGACCCCAGGGATGCTGGCTCAAGAGTGTTATAGCTAGCAACCTTGAAAGGGCTGGTGTCCAAGGTGAAGAAGACTATAATGAAACCTGATGGCAAATGGACTCCTTCCTAAATTGTAACAGAACACATACTGGCCTGGAGGGAGTTGTGATTGACCATGTAGTGTTAACAACAGTCTGAAAAAGGTGATATTTTCCTTATATGATTGAACAAACAGGTTTAGTCATCGAGGTCTAGCAGATAAGGAATAACTCAGGCAACCAGTGGAGAAACAAGTGGCTGAAATCTTTTCAGACCCCCTTAAAACAAATTAATATTGTTTATCAGTTTATATGTGCCCCATTAATCATGACCAAATCCAATATTCCATGAAAATAGAGAACATATTTCATTTGACCAAGAACATTTTACAGAATCTAGGAGAGTGCCTTGCAGTTGAATATGTCGAAGATTCGGTAACAAGAGAGGGAAAGAAAGAGTTACCTTTTTAATAAAGTAACGGAGAGGTCATTGCCTCTCATGCACACTCTCCAATTCTGTAAATCAAGGCAGCAATCTCTGGAACGTGGGACTTGTCACCTCACACGCAGAGAGGTGGCCAGCTAGAGTTGATTCACACACCCCCCAAACCCGGGAGATTTTTACAATTGCAAGTTCTGCCCTGAGAACATCCATTTTGCAGCTACAGAGAAAAACAGATCAATCAACAGGAAGGAAGGAAAGGGCTCCGGGAATCAGACCGTCCCAATGCCAACATGCACAGCCAACGCCTTTGGTGGAGGGCACTTTGGGACACTACTTGCTCCTGGTTCTGGCATTGCCTCTGACTGATCCCCAGCTGCAGCCTGGGGGTACTCAAGAAGGGGCCCTCCTGATCTGAGAGAAGAGCTCCAAAGAAACATCACTAGTGTTTGGAAATGAGAAGAAAGCTTTTTCTTTAGATCTTTTGGTAGTATTTTCCTTCTAGTCATTTCCTTTCCTTGCTCTGCTCTGCCTTCCCCATTGTAAGAGGGGACATATGGAAGACAAGAAGGTTTCTTTGGAGAATCTGGGTTTGGTTCTCCTCCTTCTCCTTCCCCCCCCCATAATAATGCCTTTTGCTTGTGTGGAACATTATGCTTTGCAAAGTAATTACACATCTATTTAGCTCATTTAATCCTCACAACATATGTGTGAATTTGGTGGTGAATGCTAGAGATGAATAGAGTCTGAAGAACTGGAAGAGGCCTTAGAGGTCATCTCATTCTAATCCAGGCGTCCTCTTAACGTAGGGATTGCCTGTACAGTGTTCGTGATAGCCTCAGCTTGGACGTGTCGAGCAACTGAAGGCTCACTTCTTTGTGAGACGGCCTGTGGTATTACCAGCTTTAGTCATTAAGAAGTTCCTCCTTATGTTAAGCTGAATTCTTCCTGCTTTTAGTTTTGTTAGTTAAATTTTTAATTAGCAGGTGTTTTTTTCTCCCTTCCACTCACCCCATTTTATTAGAAAAAAGGAAAAGAACAGGGAGCCCCCTTTAACAGATAATCATTCAAGCAAAGTTTTCACCTTGGCCCTGTCCAAAAAATGTGCCTCTCGTTCTTCATTTTGAGTCTATCGCTACTCCGTCAAGAAGTGGGTAATATGTTTCATCCTTTCTCATTGGGGGAAGGAAAAGGAAAAAGAATATGCATTTCTATAGCACCTACTATATGCTAAACACTTTACAATTATTATCACATTTGACTCTCAACACAACCCTGAGATGTAGGTGCTATTATTAGCCCCATTTTACAGTTGAGGAAACTGAGGCAAACAGTAGTTAAGGAATAGCTAGTAACCCAGTTTGATTAGAACGTAGTTTATGAAAGGTGGTAGTAAGAAATAACACTGGAAAGTAGTTGGAATCTAGGCTGTAGAGGGTAAAGGTTGTTATTGTTGTTGTTTACTTGTTTCAGTCGTCTCTGACTCTTCATGACCCTTTTTATGGTTTTCTTGGCAAAGATACTGGAGTGGTTTGCCATTTCTTCTCTAGCTCATCTTACAGATGAGGAAACTGAGGCAGACAGGGTAAAGTGACTTGCTCAGGTTCACACAGCTACTCAGTGTCTGAGGGCAGATTTGAACTCCAAAAGAGGGGAGCCTTCATGACTCCAGAAGAGATTACATCAATAACAGAAACAATGAAAGTCATGTGATTGCATCAATAGATGCAGAAGAAACTTTTGACAAATTAAAACATCGATTTCTAAGCATAGTCCCTGACACATTGTAGGCACTTCCTAAAAACTTGTTAATTGCTTGATTTTTTTTTTAATAGTAACAAACATAGTAATAGATGAATGATTCTTTAGTATAGCAAATAGTGTATATTGAAAACCATGGCTAGCATTTTCTATAATGAAGAAATGTGAGATGCCTTTATCACAAGATCAGGGTAATGCATGAATGCCAGTGATCACCACTACTGTTTGGTTCTAGAGGTGCTTTTCATAATAATGAAATGAGAAAAAGAAATAGAGTAAGGATATGCTAAAAAGAAACAAAATTGTTACTTTTTACAGATGAATAATGGTTTATTTAGAGAACCCTACAGAGTTAAGTAAAATTAATTGAAACAGTACCTTCAGTAAGGCAGATGATATGATATAAACCCAAAAAACCATCATCAACTTTTTAATATATTACCAACAAAACCTAGCAGGAAGAGTTAGGGGAAAAAAAACACATTGAAATTAACTACAGAATATGTAAGATATTTGGGAGTCCAACTACCAAGACACACCCAAAAGATAATATGAATATAACCATAAAACATTCTTTACTGAAATAAAGATAAACCTAAGTAATTGGAGAGACATTCATTGCTTATGGTTGGGCTGTGCCAGTATAATAAAAATGACAATATTGCTGAAATTAATTAATGGATTCAATGCTATACCAATAAATTACCAAAAGCTTGCTTTACTGAACAAGAAAAGATGATAGAATTCATCTAGAATCAATGATAGGTCAAGACTGTAAAATGAAATAATTGAGAAAAAAAAGTGGCAAGAAAGGTGGCCCCATTAAGTGCCATATGCTGGTAATTCCCAGTTGCTGGGGAGACTGAAGCTTAATTGCCTTAAGCTTGAGCAACAATGTGCTATGCCAATTGGTTATCTATACTCAGTCCAGCACAGTATGGTGAGCCCCCAAAAGCAGATGGCCACCAGGCTGTCTAAGGACATTTTTGATCAAAAATAGCATTAGTTAAAGCTCCCATGCCAACCAGCAGTGATTTGGGGCCCATAAGTAGTCATTATACTTCTAGCCTGGATGAAATGGGAAGATCTTGTGTCAAAAAGGAAGGATGAGGAGGAAGAGAGCCAGCTTAGCAGAACAAGATTTCAAAATATACTATAAAGCAGTAATTATTAAAACTATGTTGGTACTGGTTAAAAAATGTAAAAGCTGATTACTGCAACAGATTAGGTTCAAAAGACCCACAAGCAAATAAAGCATCATGCTTGATGAGCCTAGGGATTCCAATTACTGAAAACAGGACTCATGCTTGAATAAAAAACTTGAGACCAGTCTGACAGAAATTAGACTTAGACCAACACTCACTTCACTGCAGTAAGTTTCAAATGAATACCAGGCCTACATGTAAAAGAACATGCCACAAATTAATTCCTGGAGCAAGGAAGGAGATACCTTTTCTAACTATCAAGAACGTGTTCTTGATCAAACATGAGATAGAGAAGACTGACAAAAAATAAAACGGACAATTTTTATTGCAAAAAATTGAAAAGTATCTGCACAAATAAAATCAATATAGCTTAAATTATAAAGGAAACAATTAACGGGGGGGGAGGGGAATACATGTAGCACATTTCTTTGTTCAACAGAGTTCTGATAGCTAAGATAAATAGAGAACTGATACAAATACCTAAGAAGGATAGCCATTCTCCAAAAGCTAAACGATCAAAGGAGATGAACAGGATATTTTCAAAAGAAGAAAAGCACACTATCGACAATAATATGAAAAAGTTCCAAATCACTAATAATAAGAGAAATACGAATTTTTAAAGCTCTAAGATTCTTAAAGAAAGTAGCAGCTGTTTGAAAGCTTGTATGAAAACAAGCACAGTCCTGCACTGTTGGTAGAGCTGAAAACAATTTGGTACCATACACAAAAAGTCCCTATGTTGTGCATACTCTTTGCCCCATCAATACCACTACCAAGCTTGCACTTCAGAAAGATCAGAAAAGGAGGGAGAAGATCCATATGTACAAATATGTTGATCGTTGTAGCCAAGAATTGGAAACACAGTGGGTGCCTGTCATTTGGGGAAAGGCTAAACAAATTATGGTATGTGAATATAAGGGAATATTCGTGTGCCATAAGAAATGACAGAAGGAACAGATTCAATGAAACTTGGAAGAATTTGTACAAACTGATTCAGAGTAAAGTGTAGAGAGCCAAGAGAACAATTTATACAGCGACTTCAACACTGTGAAGAAAAACAGCTTTGAAAGATTTCAGAACTGTCATCAATGCCATGACAAATTTACCAGAAAACTGGTGACCAATCATGCCTCTTCCTTTCTGATGGTGATGAACTATAGGTATAGAATCAGCCATGGTCACTGTGCAGATTGTTTTTCATGATTATATTTATTACAGTGTAGGGCTTTTGCTTTTCTTTAGGGGGTAGTCGTAATGACACTAAAAAAGGAAAGAACAGGCATGAATCTTTTTTTTTTAAAGTAAAAAGAAGATGGCTGAGCAATGTTGAAATTACAAAATACCATGTATAATTTAAGCTATTAAAAAAGCAAACTGTACATAATGGGAAAAAAACTTTACATGACAAGCTCATAATAAAAATGAACATTTATTGTTTCTAAAGATACTGTAATAACTGTGATCCAAATGAGAGGTTACAAGGGTCCCAAT